ACAAATCGACTCCAACCCAACAGTAGGGCAAAAAACCCGAAACAGCTAATGGGCAAAATTGGGCAATGTTCATAAGTGTGCTATGTATTAATATATTTATATAATAATTTATGCTTTTAGTTAATAAACATGATTCCACTCCTTCGGTACAAGTAGGTCTGTTGAAAATACCCGATACCCGATTGCCAGACCTGATCCATACTGAATTCGGGTAGATCAGGTCGGGTATATCGGATATCGGGTTCGGAAATTCGGGTAATCGGGTAACCCAATATTTAAATAGGTCGGGTATTGGGTAGATTTAAAAAAATTCGGGTATACCCGAATACCTAATTTAAAAAAACACTAAATGTTGTTAATCTATTCCATTTTAACCATCTTTTGTTATTTAGTCAAATTGGATTTTATAAAATAAAAATGAATGTTTCAAAGTAAAATCATAAATCTGCTTCAAATGAGTACTAAAATAGTAAAGAAACTGTTAGTCATCGCATGAACTTTTAGAAACAAATAATCAATATATGGTTATTAAACTACAAAATTTTGCATAGAACTATTTCTTGCAAAATGATTTTTGCTGGAAATTTTATGCCTCTAATTTCACAGTAATATAAACTATAAAATGTAACATCCCGATGTTGAGGTACATTCAATTGTAACCCTTGGTATGATTAAATATTGTTTTTTGGTCCCTGAGCATAAGAGAGAGTACATAATGGGCCGTAGTGGCATTGTTGTAATCTTGGGCCGAACACGCGTACGTTGGGCGTACTGCGTGGTACGCGGGGCATAATAATCAATTAATAGAACGACGTCATTTTGGGAGTACGATGGGCGTACAATGCGTACGTTGAGCGTACTCCATCTGGGCGATAACCCTAATCTTGAGGGTTTGGACATTATATATTGATTATTAAGTCTCACCGCCTCACCCCATTTCTAGCCTCCATCCTTAAAAATGTATTCTATTGCAAACCCTAGCCCCATTGTTGCATTTTGAAGCTTAAGTGTGTGTTTTGTTTGTTTTAAAGGAAGAAGAAGGTGGTGGTGAAGCTCGAAAGCTAGAAGCAAGCTTGGATCTGGAAGTTTTGCATCATTCTCCATCTCCAGAAGGTAAAAAGTTCCCACCTTGATGAATAAGTTGCTAGATCTAGCTTGCATGATGAAAATATGAGCTTCTGTCCCCAAATATGGCCTTTCTTGTGTATGACATGTTATGGAATGTTTGGGCTGTCCTTTTGGACGTATTTCCATGTCTCGAGTCATAAAAATATGATCTTGGCCCTGAGATTCCTTCATGCAAGCCATTAAGAGCTTTAGAGGTTAAGACAAGTTAGGGTTTTGTTGTTGGGGCTTGATCTAGACATGTAGAACCATAAAGTTGGAAACTTTATGGTTTGGGATGCCATTTGGGGCTAAGACCGAAAATTGGACGTAGTGACTTAAGGAATTAAGCCCTCAAAAATGAAGATATTAAGTCATTGCGTACGTTGGGCGTAGCCTATAGTACGTCGGGCGTACGCCTAAGGGAGCCCGATCTAGATCGCGAGTACACGGGGCGTACGAGCCGAGTACGCGGGGCGTACTTGGTTTGAGTTGACTTTTTGACCATTGACTTCTTGACCATGGAATTTTTTACTAGGCTTGACTTTAGGTCAAAATTGAGGGTTTTGATTGGTGATTAGGATTTTATATGGTTCTGATGTTAGTGGATCCACGAGAACAAGCAGTATAGTAGGGAGCGTATCACGATGTTGTCGGGTTTCTTCTTTTTAGGTGTTTCGCCTCATTGTACCGTGGGTCAAAGGCACCAATGTCGACCCACTATTTTTCAGTTATCTGTTAGCAGAGGGATGCCTTAGGGACTGCATATAGTCATGTAGGATATATTGAGGACTCTTGATCTAGGCGCTCTTACATTTTCCTTGTTTGGTTCTGGTTCTAGAGTAGGATCACATGTTCGAGTGTCTATCTCACCTCTGATTATATACAATCATGCATTTCTTGGATTATTGCTATTTAGTATGTCGTTATGCTGTAGTATCTGTTAGATCTGTATGTTGGTATCAGGTATGATGTAGTGATCTGCTAGATATGTATCCTAATGTCGAGTATGTTGTTATGATGTAGTGATTTGTTAGATCGGTATCCTGGTATGTAGGATGTTGTTATGCTATAGTATATTGTTGGATATGTATGTTATCTATACTTACTGGTTATTATCTGGTGGAGTGCCCTAGGGATTGTTTGTGGTCACGTAGGATAGTCTGAGAACTCTTGATCTAAGCTTTCTTGCATGTTCCTTGTTTGGTTGTGGATCTAGAGTAGGATCATCTGTTCGGGTGGCTATCTCACCTCTGGTTACTTATGGTTACACATTTCATGGAGGTTAGCTGGTATCAGGGCTGTATGCGGTGAAAGGACTAGTAGGCGGTAGTGAGGTGTATGGTTGTTGTTTGTCTATGTTATGTGCCTACTTGATCCTTGTTTGTTTATATGTTAACATATGGTAATGGTGGGTTGAGGCGGTCTTGCTTTGTGTTGTAGGCCAAGATACTCGGTGTGGGTCGGCTGTAAGCCGTAGGCACGGAGGCTCTGGAAGAGCGGCTGGGTTGAGGCGACATGCCAACAAACCCTGGGTATTCCAGCCCGATGACTGAGTGGACCCGATGCATGCTTGTATGTTTATTGTATGGGGTATTTTGGGGGAAATATGCTTACCCAGTTGTTTATGGTTTCAGGTATCATCGGTGATTGCGGGAAGGCGAAGGTTAGACTGTACACACTCATCAGCAACATTGAGGATTCCGCGTTTTCTATGATACTCTGATTTTTAATAAATGTAATTTGGATTAAACGGTTTTCTTAATAATGGATTTAGAAATTGGGAAGTTTTACCTTAACAAAAATAAAAAAAATTTGTTGTGAAAAATGAGCCGTTACATAAAGCATACGAAATCATTTTTTATAAAACCTTTAAACCTTATGTTCAACTTCACAATGCCCAAACTAATCATAAAAAAATTAGCATTCAAACCCAAATGTAATAAAAATCCAATTAGAGATACTTAAGTAATTTTCGGGTATACTTGAAAATACCCAACCCGACCTAAAATCTGAATACCCGAAACCTGAAAACCCGAATTGCAATATAGGTCGGGTATTGGGTATTATAATTTTAAGGAAAAACTCGATCTACCCGACACAAACTACCTGAAACCCAAAATTTTTACCCAATCAACACCCCTAGGCGCAAGTGAATAAAAAACCCAACATATAGCAAGAACTTCAAATAAATACAACAAAAATAATCTTCAGGGACGTTCAAAACAGTTTCTAAAGTTCAGCGCACATATTGTAAAAATGTAAAAGCTAAAGGACCAAAACTTGAAATACATCTTTCTTCAAGGAAAAAAAAGGGTTATTTCCATAAAAGACCCTATATTCTGACATTTTTTCTTTTTAGACCTAAAAAATTTTTCTTTTCCGAAAAAGACCCAATTTTTATGTGTTACTTGTTATTTCAGACCCTAGCAGGTCACCAATAGGTAAATTAGGTATTTTTGTTTCATAAAAGACCCTATATTTTGTAGTTGTTTCCATTTTAGACCTAAAATATTTTTTTTTTTCAAAATAAACTCAACTTTAAAATTGGTTATAATCTTCAAGACTAAATATATAAGGTACTTCTTGACTACACCAAAAAAGAAAGTATACATGTATATACTAAAAAATATTATCTAATCTATTATCTTTTGAGCTATAACCTAAAAGAATTGCAAAATTTTATTTTTGTCTAAACGATATAATTAAACTTTATCTTGAATATATATTATATCATTAAATTTGATATATTGTTTATAGAAAATGTTATTATTACCGCTAATAAAAAGTTTGATGTTAATTTGATATTTTTTGGTAACATGAATAATAAATGGCTAAGAAGAATCTTTTAGCATAATAACAATTTTTTTTGTAGAAAAAAAATACCATATAATTTAACAAACTGTATACAAAATAATTTTTTAGTTTGTCTATTATACTTATTTGGTGAGTTTTGACATATTTCCCTCTCTCACTTTTCTATATTATTTTTTCTTTAATCAATTTTTTTAGAACAGTTAATAAACGCACTCACTATCATACTCCTAAACCAAAGCCATAGAATATTTTGTAGCATTAGCCCATTATTAAATAATATGTTATAATTATATCAAATAAATACATAAAAATATTAATCCTAAACATTCGTATTAGTTTTGTTTAGATATATGAGATTCAAGTTTAAGACTTTCTTAAAAAATGTTAACATCACATATGAATACATAAAACTATATTTTGGGAATGAAACCATTTGAGCATAAGTTGAAAATCCAAATAATAAGAATGATACCACACACTTAAATACCAAAACACGATGGTTGACATTATTAATAATGGTTGGAATGTGGTGAATGAGCAAAACTGACAAAACTATGAAATTTTGTTGTAGAGAAAAGAAAATTGAATAGTTAGCCTACTACCTCATTTTATTAATCTATCTTATGTATACATTAGATCAATACATGGTGTTTGTATATCACTGTTATTGATTCTTAAGGATAATCATAATAATTACCAAAAAAAAATTTAGGATTTCATTTTAATTTGAAAGGATATAATCACATTTTTATGCATGGACGAAGTTCAGCTTCATTAAATCGGTGTAGTTAAGTACCTTATACAACTAGTGTTAAAAGGTTGTAACCAATTTTAAAGTTGAGTTTATTTTGAAATAAAAAAAAACATTTTAGGTCTAAATTGGAAAAAAGTACAAAATATATGGTTTTTTATGAAATGAAAATAATTAATTTCCCTTTTGGTAACCTGCTAGAGTCTAAAATAACAAGTAATATGTAAAAGTTGGGTCTTTTTTAGAAAAGAAAAATTTTTTAGGTCTAAAAAGAAAAAAAATCAAAATATAGGTTTTTTATGGAAATAGCCAAAAAAAAAATCAAACTCTGCAGCATCAAACTCATCGTTACAGATCTCTTTCTCTACTCTGTATCTCTGTGTCTTCGTAATGATTAACAATGGCTACTAAGCTACCTTCAACACTATTAACATGGTTAGTGCTCTCGACTTGTTCACTCATTTTCTTCTACTCGAAACTACTCCCTCTATACCCATCTTCAAAACCCTCAAAGATCCCATTATCACCACCCCCAACACCCTGTAACCTATTCTCCGGAAAATGGGTAATTGACCCCCGTCGACGACCTCTCTACGACGATACCTGTCCTTTCCACAGAAACGCATGGAACTGTATTAGAAACCAGAGAGATAACATGAACCGGATCAATTCATGGAAATGGGTACCCGAGGAATGCGAGCTTCATGAAATTGATCCGTTTGAGTTCATGACTTTGATGAGGGATAAGCGAATTGGGTTTATTGGGGATTCTTTGAATGAGAATTTCTTGGTGAGTTTATTGTGTATACTTAGGGTTGCTGATATGGATGCTAAGAAATGGAAGAGGAAAGGGGCTTGGAGAGGAGCTTATTTCCCTAAATTCAATGTCACTATTGCATATCATCGTGCAGTTTTGTTAGCAAAATACGAGTAAGCAAATATGATTTCCATTTCAAATTTTCAATTCGTGTATAAAGATTGACATTAGATTGAAATTAGTCAGGAGATCAATGGAGTCAAGGGTGCACATCGTGTTGATGTTGATATTCCAGCAAAAGAATGGGCAGAAATCGGTGGTTTCTATGATGTTCTTGTTTTCAACACTGGACACTGGTAAATACACATTATAATTCTCAAAATACAAATCAAGAAAAGTATATGTTTATGTAATTTTTTAGTTTAATGATTAAACTTATTATAGGTGGGGATATGACAAGTTTCCAAAAGAGTCTCCTCTTGCTTTTTACAAAAGAGGGAAGCCAATAATTCCTGCTCCAAATATGTATGAAGGGCTTGAAATTGTACTCAAGAACATGGTTGTTTATATAGAAAAAGAATTCCCAAAAACACTCAAGTTTTGGAGACTACAATCACCTAGACACTTCCATGGTGGTGATTGGAATCAAAATGGAAGTTGCTTATTTGATGATCCCCTTAAGAAATTCGAGGTATGAATCATTAATGGCTATAAGATTCTAGAAAGAATGATTTATTATAAAACTATACAATATTTGCATACTGATACCTGAACAGGTTGACTTGTGGTTTGATCCCAGAAACAATGGAGTAAACAAAGAAGCAAGATTAATCAATGAGTTGATTATAAAAGCACTTGAAGAAACAAGTATTGAACTACTTGACTTGACTCATTTAAGTGAGTTTAGGGCAGATGCTCATCCAGCCACGTGGCTAGGAAAGAAGGATGCAGTGTCAGTGTGGGGACAGGACTGCATGCATTGGTGCCTGCCAGGTGTCCCTGACACTTGGGTCAATGTGTTGTGGCAACTTATGAAGAATAGGATAGGGAGAAGATGATGATTTTGTGTAATCAATTGTTGATAATGTCAAAATGAAGATTGAAGAAAGAGTTGATAGTGAGATTTGGTGATGGGATTTTGGTGGTTGATTATGGGGGTATTGTGTAATTGTAGGTTAGATGATTTATAATTTTATATATAGATTCATTATATTTGTTGGATGAAAGTTGAGTTTTGAAAGGATGTATCAATTTCTGTTGTGAAATGTGTTAAAGATTTTGTTTTTTTATTGGTTTATTGCTCAATTCTAGAAAATTTATGCTACTTTTTGTGTGGTTTATTACTAAATGATATCAACGGATGTATAAGTTATGGCAGTTTGTAAATTTGTTTATAAATTCTTGTTTATGTCGTATTTTTAGAAGAATTGAATGCATAATGTAACATTAAAACTTGCATTTTTATTAGCAATGGTAACCCATTATTATTCTGCATCTTAATAAAGCTAAAAGTATAACTATAACTCTATAAGTAACAACTTACTAAGGTGTTGTTTGTTTTTTCTAAAAAACCACTTATTGTTGCGCCGCACAGCATACTCCCAACACTTGGCCCTTCGCAGCCGTTTGTTTTTCAGAAGACTTCTGACTTAAAAATTGTTGTGGTTGTGCTGCGTGGCGCAACACTAGACTATCTGCTTCAAACCTCTTCACACCTTATTTTAACTTACTACAACAGTTTGCAGACGTTAAAAAACAAACAGACTTTTTATTACATAATGCATCTGTTTGGTCCATCTCTTCTGCTACAGGATTGCAGAGGTGGTCCGTAAACTTTAGACATTTTCGCTTCGAAAAAACAAACAACACTTAAGTTACATAACTGTTATTCTTTCTAAGACTAATGGGTTGCTTCCAAAAACTTAATGGTTACGAAAATGTAAGGTTCCTTAACCGTTTAAGGCTTTTGATTCATTTATAGGTTGTATCAACCGTGTTGAATGCAAATCGATTCGAATGTGATCTTTGCATCCGGATAGTTATAGATAATCGTTTCTTTTGTATATAACTTGGACATAATGTAAGCACACACATTTTACGAATTTCCCCTTCTTTCTTCTCACATCCGGATAGTTATAGATAATCGTTTCATTTTTTATGGAAACTAATTAAATTTGTCATTAATATTAGCAATAATATTCTTTCAGAATGAATTTGCATATAGTTTTTCATGTATGGGTTCATATTTTGTTTCGTGATCTCACTCACTCAAAATACAACAAAGTTGCCTAGAACATGGAGAATGAGAGTATATTATAGTAGAATGAGAGTTTATTCTAGTAGAATACACTCTTGTTCTTCATATTCCATGCAATTTTGTTGTATTTTAACTGAGTGAGTCCATAAACAAAACACGAACCATACATGAAAACATAGATGCGAATTTATTCTGAAATAATGTTATTGCTGACATTAATAACGAATTTAGTTAGTTTCATAAAAAAGAATTATAATTATGAATATCATTTAATATACATACAATTATGGAAATCATTTAATATATCTATCTTTATTTAATTAAATAATTATTTAATTTTACTAAATTTCTATTGGTGCATTCTAGCACATAATAAATGTAAGAAACATATAAACCTAGCCCTATATATATATATATATATATATATATATATATATATATATATATATATATATATATATATATATATATAGAGAGAGAGAGAGAGAGAGAGAGAGAGAGAAAGAGAGAGAAAGAGAGTGTGTGTGTGCACGGTGTCATCCCACATATTCATTTCCTACCGCCCCTTACCAAATTGGGTGGAATGGTGTTCCCGTTTCTCCTACATCCATCAATCTTGATTTTTTTTCCCTATATGAAACTTTTTCTGTATTTATGTCTGCCCAAATCATGATAACCTTCTTTCTTCTCCTAGCTTTTCCCCATTTCCCAATCCTGGGCCTCCCTCCTAGTCAATCCCATGGTTGTTCTCACCCCCACACCCTCCACCCTTATGCTAAGTTTTCATCTAGTAATTGGATTGCAAATATGTAATTAATATGTGCAACCATAATATTTAATTAATAATTATTATTCACATGTTATAGGTTTTAATATCTTGGTATTTTTTGTTGGGTTTTTATTCAAAATTAGTTTCAAAAATAAGATTTTAGCAACGGAAGACTTGAGTATTTTGAACAAATATAAACTAGTTATAACCAACCATGGATCTTGTTGCAAATTTTGGAAAGAAAACAAGCACCAAATAAAAAGAAAAGTTTAACATCATTTGTAGACTTTGGATCTTCTAATGGAGGCTTGGAAGATGATGGAGAATGTAGAACCTTTGATACACCAACAAGAACTCTACTTGATTTAAGATGCTAGTCTTGTAAAACTCTTAAAACTCTTAAGCTTAAAGTTTATATCCTAATATGAACTTCAAGAGAGCAAAAATGAGCAAGTATTCTCCAAGAAAAAATGAACAAAAGAGACAGTATGCATCTCAAATGCTTGTTATGTTTTTTTTCCCTAGTAAAACCAAAAGGCAAAAGCTAGTCACTTAAACAACTAAAGCAAAGTCATTACATATTGAGTCTTGGTGTTTAAGGACACCATGTCCCTAGCAAGAAAAGTCTATTAGAGTAAAAGTATGGCTTTATGAATAATCTAATATGAAGATGTTGCAGCTAGCTTTTCCTTGCCCCCTTCTTTTATTTATGCTTTTATAAGAAAATGAAAGAAAGATTTTTATAAAAAAGTCTTTCATTCTTTAATAACTTATAAACTTTAACCTTTTGGAAAATGACAAAAGTTCTTATGGTCCAAAATGTTATACATCACTTAATAAATCATATCATATGATATATTATGTTACCTGCTTAATAAAAAAGATTTTTATTCTAAATAAATTATTATTTCCATTTTTTTATAAGAAAAGAGAGAAAGATTTTTATAAAAAAAATCTTTCATTCTTTAATAACTTATAAACTTTAATCTTTTGGAAAAAGACAAAAGTCTTTATGGTCCAAAATGTTGTACATCACTTAATAAATCATACCATATGATATATTATGTGACTTGCTTATGAAAATAATTATTTTCAAGAGATAAAGAATTTCCAATTAATTATAAGAGTTTATTGAATATTTATTAAAATCAATTTCTAATAAATAATCAATTGTATAAAATTGTTAGTGTGACCTTTAGGATCATATGTTAATTAGCAATATCATTTTAATATAACTTTTGAGCATTCAAGATCTTTCATTTTAATGTTAAGATAAAACAACACTTTTCTTAATTATTTTATAGAAAGACCAAAAAGCCTAAATTTAGAAAATGTATTTTTCAACTTAGTCGGCAAAATGGGCCAACAATGGTTTCCCATATTTAAGCCAAAAAAATTAAGGGTGGTTAATTTTTCTAATTTTCATTTCGCAAAAACTAAGAAACGGTCACAACTAAGAAACGTTCATAGCTTGTGATGACTAAAGAGGATAACCGGCTTATTCGAGTAAACTTCATTATGTTATGGTTTAAATTTGCACTTTTTTTTTAAAGTACGGTCACTTTTTCTATAATTTAAACATTATGCACCATGATAAATGCATTTTAGTCTTTGAAATGTTTTCGTCACCATTAGATATACGTTTTATGTAATTTTTAGTGTTTCACATATTATTTAAGGCATTTTACAGTTTGCACTGCGAAATGCTCTAAAAAATATATGGAAAATAAGAAATGAGTATTTTTTTGGGCATTTTAGTTTTTTGTTTGAATACTCTCTTATACATGTAAATAGCATATGATTTGGTATTTAGTCGCAACAAACTACTATATTTCCTAAAGAAATGTATTTCGTACAGTTTTGAATGCATTTTGTAGTTGGCACAGTGAAATAGTCATTTTGTCACCTTTGTCATTATTGTTTTTCTGAATAATCTTGTGTTTTGGCACCCTTCGAAATTGCTATATGTTAGTGTTGTTTGATTTGATCATTTTTCAATGTTTTATCTTTTATCGTTTTTATATTGTAGCATACTAACATGCATTTCAAAGGAAAATTGAATGCAAAAGGAGTTATGAAGGATGTCCTAAGGTTTTAGCACGACTATCAGGAGCATGTTGAGTACTATTTAATACTACATGCTTTGGGTATTGGCTCGTGCATTATTACTCCATGACAACCCTATCGACTCTAGATTTGACCACAAACGAGTTTTATATTTGATTTATGAGGGTATATTATTTATTTCAAACATATAGAGTTTTGTATTATCACTGTGGTTCATATTCGAACAGATTCTAGATGTTCATATGATGACATATGATGGTGGTTTATGTGCGTCCACGCATATTAGTCCGTGTGTCTCATATCTATTCGATGGTGTCGATAGACTTCTTTTTAGCAACGATTTCTTTTATATACATCACATGATGATGCAATGTGTTTGTTTGCTTTATATGTTATGTTCTTGATTTTTAGCTTTAATATTTGTTCGTAAATAGTATTGTATATTTTTTGATTTTTTTATTTATACGATTGATTTATAAAACCATAATATATACTTAAACATAAAAATATAATAATCATACTAAAAAATTCATCATATATCCAAAAATATTATCTCACTCATCACTAAGAAATGATGAGAAATTCTGAAATTGCAATTGCGGCAATGATTTTTGTCGTCAACAAAAATTGCCTAGTTCTAGTATTATTTTCAAATGATTTTTGTCATCAATAAAAATTGCCTAATTCTAATATCATTTTCAAGACAATCTTACTTTTCGATAAGTTCAAAACATTATATATGACATTTAGAACATTGGGTGTGGGCAACTAGATGTAACATCAAATTGGTGTCACCTCATCCATAACACCACCATAATACCAAGGGGGAAATGGCGTTCCTATGTTGTAACATGTTAAAAGCTAGAGAGAGAAAGAGAAAGATAAGAAGAAAATGAAATTTGATTGGTTTGTTTTCAGGTTGCAAGATGTCATAAAGGCCACAAGATGCAACATAACACCAAGAGAGGTTGTGTTCATGGTGTTATGACGCTGTTATAGCTTGCCACATCCGCCATAACGCCATATAACATGACCCATACTCACTGCTCTTAGAAATCTGTTTCTCCTGTTTTTCTTAATATCATTATTTCATTTCATCATTTTTATCCTTACTACGACATTTAGAAATCTATTTCTCCTAACTTTTTTTTT